TGATGATGATGATGATGGTGGTGTCCCGATGATGTTGATGACCGTGATGATGATGATGATGATGATGATGATGATGCTGGTGTTGATGATGAGGACGGCGTCCCGCTTATGATGATGTTGGTGATGATGATGTTGGTGTTGATGTTGTTGATGATGATGATGATGATGATGATGACGTTCATTGTGATAGCGGTTGTGATATCGATAGTGAGATCGATAGTGAGACCGAATGTGATATCGATTGTGAGATCGATTGTGCGATCGATAGTCAGATCAATTGTGAGATAGATCGAGTGAGATCGATTGTGAGATGGATCGAGGGAGATCGATCGAGCGAGACCGATACTGAGATCGATAGTGAGATCGATAGTGAGACCGATCGAGTGAGACGTTGGTTCCTGCCCCCCCGAACCTCCTTATCACCCGAAGGGTGGTCGTATAGGTATACTGTATATATATGTGTGTAAATATGCATACATATATTTAACAAATGGGTACGTACACATACAAATGTACAGCTGTATGTCCTAGATTGATATGTATATTTATATGTATGCGCATCTGTATACAAATAATGTGTGAGATGTGTGTGTGTGTGTGTGTGAGTGTGTGTGTGTTGGATTATGGGTTCTCCTGCTGGCCCAGGTGGGAAATGAGAGGGGGCAGGCCTTCTCAGAAGGCGGCGGGCCTTACCAGAGACCCCGCCTGGCCCTTTGGTGCACTCGGAGGCCTTCTGAGCCTGCCACCAAGGCCCGCCCCCTTTCCCTTTCCCCCCCCCCCTGGCTCGCCGCCAAAGAACGCGGCCTGGGCACGATGTCTCGGCGGTCCGCGCCGCTCTGCTGGATCTGCGCTGGCTGCCCCCCCGGGGTCGGCGCCTACGGCGCCGCCCCTGGCGCGCTCCGCGCTCCGGGGAGAGGGTGGCGAGCGAGGGGGGGAAGTGAGAAGGACAAGACCTTCTCCCTTGAGATCCTGGCGTTCTCCTCCTCCTCCTCCTCCTCCTCATCATCATCATCATCATCCTTCTCCTCCTCATCCTTCTCCGTTCATCGCAGCTCCTCCTCCTCGTCCTCCTCCTCCTCTTCTGCGACCGTCCTCTCCCTCAAACAGTGGCGAGGCGTCCTGGCTGGCCCATAGGCCCACCCAAGAGTGTTGAGATAGCCTTTTGCGATTGGCAAGTTTCGGCCGAAACCGTCAACACACCGTTTTTGTTTCTGAGATGTCTTGGTCGGCCTATAGGAATGCCGGCACGGTCGGTCCCGGCTCAACTCCCGTCTCCTGCCCGGCCGGCGTGTGCACGGCAGGCTCGCACCGCGTCGACCAGCGGCGGCCCCGCCGCCAGGCGTGCAGCGTCGAACGCCAACGGCGACCCAGAGTCGGTCGATGTTGAACGTTTGCCGTTTCGGAAACGCCTGACCGTTCAAGTTTGAGCGATCCCCGCACTGTCAGAAACCAACGCGGGGGTCCATTCGACACGAACCGACCGTACCATTCGCACCGGGGTGCCGCCGCTTGGGCTACGCACGTGAAGTGGAATTTCTTGAGAGGCGCACCCACTTCAAGGGAACCTCATTGGCGGTTGCAGGATAGTATGCTGCCGCTGCTATGTGGGCTCTGGTGCTTAATGCACGCGTGCCCTGTCTGCCGACGTACCACTTTACGTCACATCTGCGAGGCAAACATTGCCTCATCTTTCTCATGATCCAAGATGGATGTTTGATGGGGTGGTGTTGAAGTAGCCCTCCCGGTGGGATCCCCCCATTGGGCTCTCTTGGGGTATTTTCGGGGCTTTCTGAAGCCGTCATGGGGGCCCCTGGGGCCGTCCCAGGGTCCTTTGGGGCTGTCCTGGGGCCTTCTTGAGAGCCTCGTCGGCCGCCATGTGACGAGCCTCGGGGGCCCCAAAGGAGCTGGTGGGATCCCCCCCCACCTCCCGAAGCGCCCCTCCCCCCCGCGCCTCGTCCTTGTCCCCCTCCTCCTTCTCCTCCTCCTCCTCCTCCTCCTCCTCTTCCTTTTCCTCCTCCTCCTGCTCCTCCTCCTCCTGCTCTTCCTCCTCCTCCTCGTCCTCCTCCTCCTCCTCCTCTTCCTCTTCCTCCTCTTTTCCTCCCTCCAGCGCCCCCCGCCCCCCCTTTCTCCCTGCCCCGAAGGCACCTCGACGGCGGCCGGATCCTAGCGGTGCTCGGCGCGGAAGCGCGCCTGGCGCTGCTTGGGCTCCTCGCGCTCGGGTCTGCACGGGGGTTGGGCCTCCTCCTCATCATCCTCCTCCTCCTCCTCCTCCGCCGCCTCCTCCTGCTGCTCTACGACGTCCTCCTCCTCATCCTCCTCCTCCTGCTCCTCCTGCTCCTCCTCCCGCTGCTCTGCGTCGTCGTCCTCCTCCTCCTTCTCCTCCTCCTCCTCATTTTCCTCCTCCTCCTCTACCGACTCCTCTACCTCGTCCTCTACCTCCTCAGATTCCTCCTCCTCCTCTTCATCATCAGCAGCATCAACAGCATCATCATCAGCAACA